TCTAGTGTTTGTTATTATACATTTTTCTGTCTCCATCTGCTTGCCTGGTTTAATGATGGAAACATTAATTCTTATTTACGCAATTACATGTTAATGAGGATTATTAAGATACACCATTTTCTTAATTAACATTTATTAGTTTAGACGAATAACGTAAATTATACATTAAACCTGAAATTAGATAGTTAGGCAATAAAGTTGAACCAAATTTACAGTAAGATCCGACATCTGTGTCTCTATTAAAGATTCGAAAGTGTGAATAATAAATTGGGTACTTAGTGGATATGGATGTCATTTTCCTCAAATTAATGATTGAGAAAAATAAAAAATAATAATAATAATCCATTTTGCCATCCCATCCCCGGTAAGGCCCCGCTGCGGCAGAGGTGGGGTGGGTTTTGAATTAGCAAAAGTTGAGGGGCAATAATGTGAAGCTCAGGAAAATTAAGGTTGGCAAGTTTTGATAATTTGGATAAAACTCTGTAACATTTCCTTTGCCTTTTGTTTTCCACAAAAAGTTTATTTCTGACACCTAAATTTGTCTGCAGTGTCTCAATTTTCAGGGCACTCAAAAACCTTCTCTTTTTCCTTTTTCTTTTTCTAATAAAATTATTACAATTATTCTTTAAACTTCAAATATTAAATACACACAAACATAATATATATTTATTAGCTTAATATTTTTTTATATACGGTTAATAAACTAATTCATAAAAATAATTATGGATTTGAGCTTACTTCAATTCATTTTAGACCGATATTCTAATAAAAGAAGTCAAAATGGTTGGAATCTCCTACTAATTTATGGTTGAATTAGTTTACGAATGTTAATCTAAGATTAAGATGTTTATGATGATTAAGCATTAATTGGTGGGATGTGGCCTAGAGAATCTAGGGTGGTAAGCTGCCTTTCCTTTTGTCTCTCTTTTAGTTTTAGTTGTTGAGAGAATTCAAACCCATTATAAGGGGATCCCATACTACTTTACACGTATGCATCATCATTACCTAAATTTACAATCATTTTTTTAAATATTAATTTCTCAAATCTAACCTTTAATTCGTTGGCATCCAGTTTTTCCCTTCACTCTATCCAATAAATAAATATATCATTTCATTTTTTAATCAACTACAATGTTCAAAGTTTTCAATAATTAAGGTAATTGACTCGGGCCCTCTCCATGAATGTATTAAACCAAATGAGTTAGTAGCTTCTAGGTCAATAATATATATGTTTGAATGTTCCTATATTTCGAGAGTCCGATCAATTCAGACTATTTAATTTAAACTATACCAGTTAAGTTTGATTAAATTCTTTTTCGATTAGAGTTAGGTTGAACTAAGGTTACCGCTCAACCCCATTCTACCTTAGTATTATTATGAAGATTAAGGAGATTTGGTAATTGTAACCGATGCTAATGATATTTTAATTATCAATCTAAAAAAATAATTAAACAAAACTCAAAAATCTAACTAACTTAATCAAAGAACAAAAAAGGGTTTGGGTTGGGTTGTGTTCCGGTTGCTCGAGTTATCAACCCAACCAACCCAAAAATTTAGACGGGTGTAAGATTTTCCCAACCTAACCCATGTACACCCTTGTTCAAATCATGTTTCTATTGGCATATTAACATTAATTCTAATGTTTTGATTTATTGGTCGAATGTATATATATATATATTATAGTCGGATAAACTATATTTGAGATTAATTTTGAGCCTTTCTCTAATTTAAAATCTTCTCAAATGCGACAAAAAGAGCAAATTGATTATAATTAGAAAAGTTAGTATGAGTAGAACAACACACCTTGGAAGAATATTTTGTTATGGCCCAAGTTTATGCTATGCGTACACGCTATTTATTATTAATTATTACACGAGAATCTCTCATTATCTCTCTAAATTTTCTTTTTTTTTTTTTAAAAAAAACAAAATCTTCTTCATTTTCTTTATTTAAGAATCATTTTCAATTGCTTTCAACCGAATTCAACTCCACATAATTAAAAATATCTAATAGGTTTATGATTTTTAATTTTGTATCGAGTAAAATTATGATATATTATAAAAAACATAATATTCTTTTTTATAATATACCAACATGATCAAAATACTCTCACATTACCCATCTACACTTTCACTGTGGTTGCCACCGGCGACTATCACCCACAGTTAACCACCATGCCACCATCACGCTACCACTAACAACTATTACCCACCATGAGCAGCCAGCAACCACCGTCGTAACAACCGATCACCACCACCCATCGTCGGTGACCGCCAACCTCACGCCACCACCGCCACATCGATCATAGTGTTTTAAAAACAAATTTAAACATTGGTAATAACTTAAAATAAGAGTATTTTAAAGGAAATAAGTTTTATTTAAAGTCATAATTAGTGTTGAAATAAAGAATTGAGAAACAAAATTGAAAGAAAGAGGGAGAGAATATTAGGAGGTTTTAGGGTTAGGTTATGATGATTAGGTAATGAATGATGATATTGCTTTTATGTTTAAAACAAAACAAAAAGGTCAAAAAACACAATCCCATGTTTAGCAGTGAGAATTAGGTTTTACTGAAGTCGTCAAATACAAGACAACTTTATGTTCTACTGTTAATCCAATAAACTATACTGTTCTTAAAGCTGCCTCTTTACAAAATTATTCCTAAAAGTAAATGAAAATGACAGAATTGGAACATAATGTTATAAGACCACTTCATTTTTAAGTTGAATTTTGTCTCCCTTGCTTATTCTTTTAAGAGATAAAAGATCCCTATATCTATAAATTTACTTTACTCTTAAAATTTAAGGGTATAGTTTGAGAGTTTGAAAAATGTTAGGATGTTAAATGGGGCAAGGTTGGTGACATAAGTTAATGATGTAATTAATAATGTGGGATGCACGTGAGGAATGGGGCCATATGTTGCTTATGAATTATGGAAAAGAATGTGAAGAATCTTCACTGTTTCTTTCACCATATCTCTTTCATCTCATACTTTTCTCTCCCATTTCCATTTCCATTTCTTTATAAACAATCAATTATTGTCAAATATTTGTCAAAAGTTCTATGGATTACCTTCATGTTTCGGTCGCCATAACTTTCTCCTTTACGTTATTAATGAGAAGTTGGAAAGATTGAATTCAAGATACGTTGCTCTTTTTTTAACGAGCTCATGAGGAACCAAGAGGAAGCCTGTTCGTGATTTGGAATATGGGTAAACATAACTCAACAGATAAAACACCAGTTCTTTCGTTCAAATTGAACAGAAAACGAATTTTTTGAAAAGAACGAGAATAGTTGGATCAAACCCACAAAAGGAATATATGCAATAATAATTTGGACAGTTTTTGGTGCAGCTTTATATTTTTATTTTCTTGCATCTTTGAATGAAATGCAATGCAAAGGAGAAGACAAACTCAGGTTGTCTGTGGGAGACATTCAATTGGGTTGGTTTGGTACTAAAGCTGATGAATGAATGGGTATGAGGATGCCCCTTAGATATGAATGTATATGAGTAGAAAGGCGAAGGGCAACCCCACATTATTTGGTGCTTTCCAAGCTTTTTGTACTGTTAGTATTCAACGCCTGATTCTGAATAGGAGAAGTTTTTTTTAAAAGGGGAGATGGGAAAATTGACCTTTCATTGAGAATGACATGTAGTAATTGTATGAAACAGGACAGTATGTGTCCTAAAACCGAATGCCAAATCCCTTCTCATTAAATCTCCTTGTCGGATGCAACACTTTTACACAGCCAACAGAATCAAATTGCAGACACTCTCACTTCCCCATCTCCCTATTCTCCACTCTTTCCGATCAACACTTTTTTTTTTATACTCATATACGTCGGACGTTGTTTCAGTATAATTTATAAACTTAAATTCGATTTAGTTCTTGTAAATTTAAAGTTTTGACAATTTGGGTATGATAGAATCGATTCCAATATCGAAACGAAATAAGTAAAAATGGAAATTTGAGCCAAGAGATCATGAATCAAAATTGTTGCAACAATGGCCTCACTTTTTTGATACAATATTGTTGTTTGAAGTACTCTGTTAAATATGGGTAGTAATGCAGGTGATTGGGCCCCTCGCAAGAGCATCTTCCTCGGTAGGCCCCACTTCTAAAATTCTTATTTTGTGGATTATTTTTTTGTCATTTTGCACTCGTAAAGTCGGTGTGTCAATTTGGAGTGTCCCCCTTGTACGTTTGGGCCCAATTTCAGAAATTATTGGGCCGGTAACTCAATGGTTGGGCTTTTAGCTTCTGCAAAAGAGAGGCCCTTTCTTTTCGTCACTATTTGCATAATTGTCTTGGTCACATAACTGATATATACAACACGAGGTTATTTGTGAGAGCGTATTTCGAATTGGGTATCTCTCTAGAGCTCGACCTTGATTCTCATATAATTATTATTGATTATGATATAGTATTTTTACGTATAACAACGATAGAACGAACGAATAGATTTGACCGACCCAAAAAAATATAGTTGAAGGGTTTTTTTGGGTTGACCATTGACTAAGGAGTATGGCTAAGCTCCCTTTTGATTGACATGACATGATCTATAATGTTGAAATTGAGTGGTGTCAGAATATTATTGGCTTTTTACATAATATATATTTTGTAAATTCTTCAATTCTTCTAGTTTATTTCCAACGTAATTTTAAAATGGTTTTTGAGTTTGTTAATTAAATCATATAATCTTCGTAGAAAAACAATCAATTTTCTCAATTAATTAATAGAAGTTTATTAATAATTGTAGTTCTATTAAATTTATTTGCACTATTAAATATAATATAAATCAACAAAAACAGTACATGAGAACTCAAAATTAAAAAGGAAATTTGCTTATTTATCCCTAAGTGGGGTCCACACCGAAAGGTGGAAAGCAGTTGTGGGAGCCACGTTTTTACGGTCTCCGGTGGGTTTCAACGGCTCTTAAAAATTAAAAGTTTTATAAACTTAATAGATTTGTGGGTTTTATGAAATAAACAATTTGTATTTTATTATATGGAAAAGAATGGATTCTGGAGTTGGCAAATGTCCTACAAAACTCAGAAAAGCTCCCTCGTTGCAGCAGTTGAGCTGCTCCCATCCCCACCACCAACTCTCTCTCTAACATCTCCGACCGACCTCCGCTCCTCTCTCTCTTTCTTTTCTCTCCATTTTCTTTCAGCTCCCTTCACTTCATTCAGCTACAATTTCGCCTTGCTTTCCTTCCCCATCCACACACCCTCATCCTCAAATGCGCACAGGAATCAAGTGAAATTAGAGCAAGATGCCACTGGTCAGGGTGCAGGTCAAGAGCGAGTTCGGGCTCGGAAAGCCCCATCTCTACATGGAGGCCAACAATGAAGATCCGAAAGCCGTCCTCGACGGTGTAGCCGTTGCTGGTCTCGTCGGGATCTTGAGGCAGTTGGGTGACCTTGTCGAGTACGGTTTTTTCTTTGCTTTGCTAACTTGTTTATCTACTATATTTGCTGCCTCGCTGGTTGAGAATTAGGTATTTCCTTCAGATGTTCTCGTTTGTAGGTAGCTCTTACGTCTTGTACTGTATAATGGGTTAGTTATGCGGTCTTAAATTAATCGGATTATAGAGGGTACTTTATACGACATTTAAGCTGACTGGGATGGTATCATCGTATATTGTAGATTTGCGGGGGAGGTTTTTCATGGGTTGCAAGAACAGGTTATGACAACAGCTTCCAGAAGTCACAAAGTGATGGTTCGCCTCAAACAGATTGAAGCTGCCCTTCCTTCATTTGAAAAGGCAATACTAACTCAAACAAGTCACATTCATTTTGCTTACACAGCTGGTATGACTCAATTGCCACCTAAATTATATATAACTTGACTTAAACTTAATTTGTTTCAGTTTATAAGGTGCTATCAACTTGTCATTTGTGATCACTCTAGTCTTGCTTAGAGATAGCCTTGTCTGTTTATGTAGACAATTGTTTGTTCTTTTCCTTTGTAATTGTGTCTGAACAGTACAGTGTGCAACTTTTGTTATTTTCTTGTTCGTAAAAGTGAAAAGAGGAAGCGTTCTAGATTCCCCCCACAACACAGATACCGAATACCTTTTATAGGCAGCATCCAGCCATACAGCCATTTATCTTACCTAATTTCTAACTTTTCTTCTATGTACGTGTGAGATCCCACATTGGTTGGAAATGAGAACCAAACATTCTTTATAAGGGTGTGGAAACCTATCCTAGTAGACGCGTTTTGAAAACCTTGAGGGGAAGCCCGAAAGAAAAGCTCAAAGAGGACAATATTTACTAGCGGTGGGCTTGGGTTTGGGCTGTTACAAATGGTATCAAAGCCAGACACTGGACTCCGAAGGGGGTGGATTGGGGGTCCCACATCGATTGGAGAAGGGAACGAGTGCCAGCGAGGACGCTGGACCCCGAAAGGGGGTGGATTGTGAAATCCTACATCGGTTGGAGAGGGGAACGAAACATTCTTTGTAAGGGTGTGGAAATCTCTCCTAGCATACGCGTCTGGACCCCGAAGGGGGGTGGATTGTGAAATCCTACATCGATTGGAGAGGGGAACGAAACATTCTTTGTAAGGGTGTGGAAACCTCTCCTAGCATACACGTTTTAAAAACCTTGAGGGGAAGTCCAAAAAACATTCTTTGTAAGGGTGTGGAAACCTCTCCTAGCATACGCGTTTTAAAAACCTTGAGGGGAAGTCCAAAGAGGACAATATCTACTACTAACGGTGGGCACCACTTGGACTGTAACAGTTTTATTATTATTATATGATCTAAACACGTATATACATGAGTGTCTATATCTGAAGATGTGTTGCCCATATTACTGCAAAGAGAATACCTGAAGGAGACAATTTTTTGATACACTAACAGGGCGGGAGGTCCTATTAATGTGATGTTCCACATTGGTTGGGGAGGAGAACAAATCACCATTTATAAGGGTGTGGAAACCTTCTCCTAGCAGACGCGTTCTAAAGCCTTGAGGGGAAGCCCGAAAGGGAAAGCCCAAAGAGGACAATATTTGTTAGCGGTGGATCTGGGTCGTTACAATTAATAACTCAACACTGGTCAAATTTAACTTCAGAACAATAGTGAGCTTAGCTTTAGTTAATCGTCAGTTTTGTTTTGCTATAGCACCTATATTCAAGCATGCCGCTTTAGCCAAAACTTAGGTTCTATCAGGATCATGTTATAACATTTTTTGCAACATTTGCATATTTGTATAATGTTAAGCAGTTACTTTGCAGGTTCTGAGTGGCATCCTAGTATTCGAACTGAACAAAATCAATTCATCTATCATGATTTGCCACGATTTATGATGGATGCCTATGAAGAATGTCGTGATCCTCCACAACTTCATTTGCTTGATAAGTATGATCAGTGTTTTAACTTTGTTTAAGGTGCATCTCCTTGCTGAAAATGAAAGGCAAGCTTTACAGTTCCGTTCTTCTCTCCATCCAGATTTGATACGAGGGGTCCTGGATCTTGTTTAAAGCGTTATTCAGATCCAACGTTCTTCAAGAAAACATCAACCTCAGGAAAAATAAGCTTGGAGAAGGTTCGGAGTGACAAAAAGGCTCACAAGATCAAGGTGTGCAGTGAAAGTCTAGGAGTTATATGTGTTGTGTGCACCTTTTGAAATAAATGATTAGTTTTTAAGGTTCAACGATTGAATTTAACAGCCTAGGGTAAGCTGAAACAGCCCAAGCCAACCACTAGTAGATATTATCCGCTTTGGCCCTACGTATCATCATTCGCCTAACGGTTTTAAAACGTGTGTGGCTGATGATGATACGTAACGGGCCAAAGCGGAGAATATCTACTAACGGTGGGCTTGAGTTGTTACACTTACCGTAAGCACCCGGAACAACAAGAATATGGAGTCATTGTGTTAATTAATATTCTTGAAATCAAAGCTTGGCCCATTCTTTTCTTGTTTTTTTTTTTCGTTTGTTAGTGGAATACATCAGTTTTGTTATTTAAAGTAGTCATTATGACCAATAAATTAACAATGCAGAGAAAAAGATCATTGGTACACAGTGGAGAAATGATACATGGTGCATCAATTTCCAAGCTTAATAGCAGGTATTACTAACTAACGATTAGCTTTGAACGTTTCTTCTTTAGTTGAATGGATCACCGACAACTTTTTATGCAGCTTGCAGTTGACCTCCTTTTCAAATGAAGGGGCGTCTCTTTCTCAAACTGCTACAGCTGATCGGATGATGAAATCAGATGCTGGGGACTCTTCGAATTCTTATGATTCTGGAACAGTGTCAGGATATGCTGGAAATGTTTTGAAATTAGGTTCTTCCTTGCAAACTAAAGAACAGGAGTTTAGGGAATCTTCAAGTCCAAGTTTGATGCAGTATAGTGATGCTGCTGATTCAGTTCTCCCAGATGAACAAAGTAGGATTATGGACGATAAATTTCAATATGCACCAGAGGATCAAATCGATTCGAGTTTCTCTTCTCATGTCACATGGGACGAAAAGGCAGAAATATTGAAGCCCAAGAATCAGCAGGATGTTAGAGAAATGACAGAAATAGTGCAGTCACGAGGTCTAGAGGATGTTAGAGAAATGGTAGAAACAGTGCAGCTAAGGACTCAACTGGATGTTAGAGAAATGGCTGAAATAGTGCAGCCAAGGACTCAAAAGGATGTTAGAGATATGGAAGAAATAGTGGAGCCACGGACTCAACAGGATGTTAGAGAAATGGCAAAAATAGAGCAACCAAGGACTCAGCAGGATGTTAGTGAAACATCTGAAATTGTGCAGCCACGGACTCAACAGGATGTTAGAGAAATGGCAAAAATAGAGCAACCAAGGACTCAGCAGGATGTCAGTGAAACATCTGAAATTGTGCAGCCAGAGACTCAGAAGGACGTTAGAGAAATTGAAGAAATTGCGCAGCCAAGTTCCCAACAGGATATGAGAGAGATGGTAGAAATTGTGCAGCCAAGGACTCAACAGGGTGGCACAGAAAAGGCAGAAATGGTGGAGCCGGGCAGTCAACAGGGTGGTAGAGAAAAAGTGGAGATGGTGGAGTCGAGGAATCAACAGCATGATAAATTTAAAGATCAAGAATATAAAGTTCCTGTACCTCAATCTTCCCTGGATCCATGTGAAACGGAAGGCCTTTACCTTATAAATGATGAACAAATGAGCACGCTAGCTAATGTTGGTCACCCTTTAGAATCAATTTACGACAGGAGTGTGTTTGATGAAATTGGAAGTGAAACGGACAATTATATGGATGCACTCAACACAATTGAGTCAGAATCTGAAACTGACATTGATTGCCAGACAAAACGAGAAGTAGAGCCATGCGCATCCAATATAAAGTGTGAAGTAGTAGATCCAATGCATGACCTCCTTGAATCTAGTTTAGGTCCTGATATTCCAATTCTTGACCAGAGCAGTGAGCCTCAAAAGTCCTTTGACAAAGGTATTATTTCTAGCCTACCATATTTTGTTTCTTCAGATGGTTTTTACCATGATCAAAGGCTTGAAGACACCATGAAGGTTTCTAGTCCTGACTGTCCCCTAGTAACTGACCTGCATGGCAAAGAAAGTTCCACATTGGAATCTGATATCACTGATTCCTTCCATCCAGACTCCAATTCTAGTTTAGAGGATCATTCTGGAATTAAATTATTGAACAGAATACATGAAACTGAAAAGGTTTCTTCCTCCAGCCATCTTTCAGATAAGTTCTGGACTAATGGTGGCTTGCTAGGACTTCAGCCATCAAAGCCTCCTTCTTGGGCCGTACCAAATGCTGCTTGTGAGAACTCAAGTAAAGGTGAAAAACGTGGCCCTTCTGATCATGCACATGTGATCAATGGTAATGCTCAGGAAATAAAAATGGATAATTTTCCAAAGGTTGCTATTAATATTGAAAAGGATTCAACTTCTAATAAGTCCTCATTGCACGGTGATGATCGTTCAAGCAATGGATCTAGTTATGCCCATATGGATAATGTGGTAAAAAGAAATGTGATAGCAGCAGCTGGAATTGCGTTTCCAGCTGTACCTAATGTCAATGGCATGCATACTCAAACCATTATGGAAAAAGATGAAAACTCCAATCAAAATTCTGGACTTGGCCATCAATTGCTTGTAAATGGCTTTCATAGAAAACTGACGCTAATACATGATGAAAGATTTGAGGCTAAATCTATGAATACAGATGGTGCAGGGAAGAGAAATGGCTACCAAGATACTGTTTTTGAAACAATGTATGAAAGGACTTCCACAGAGCAATTAGCCAGTGATTCTTCGTCGGATTCATGTCCTTCGCCCCCACTTGATCACATGAAGATCTCTTTCCATCCTGTCTGTGGTTTTGAAACATCAAAATTGAAACTGAGATTTCCCGATGGCAGTGATGGTCGCGGAAGCAATAAGGACATATTTCCATCATTTCAGTTGGCCCCAGAGGAGTCTATTTTTGTGCATGAGATTGGCTCTGAGTCTGATGATGACACATTCTGCAGATCATCTCCATGTATGTCTGATGATTGTCTTAGTAATCACTCTAAGTCAAATTCTGAGCTGTGGGAGTCTGATGACACTCCAGAAACCACAGGCAAGAACTTGTATGATGTGCACCACATGTCACAGACGGAGTCTTTGTCTACATCATTTGAGCTTCAGGGAATCACAAAAAGCGGCAGCACTATTGCCGATGAAGGTGGAAATTTGAACGTTAAGAAGGGCATGGATGAATCTCTTTCTGGTCCATCTCTTGATCTTCCATGTTTTGACATTGTGAACCCTGTAAGAAGTGGAAGAATTGTTAGATAAAACCTGAGTTTTACCGTTGTTATTCACACGATTTCAGAAAATCGTGAGGTTGACCATTTGACAAATCACGTCGAATGGATCACCAGAGTTTTAGAAGGGAGTGGCACAGATTTAGTTTGCCACTCTCCAAGCCAATTTTAGAATTCCTTTTTTACTTTAAATAGGAGAATTGTTCAGAAAACAAAACAACCTCAACGCAGTCAAATTCAGAGTTATTTTTTCTCTCTCCTTTTTGTTACGCATTTTCTGAATTTCCTCTCACCGAAATTCTGTGAAAACCAACAAGTGGTATCAGAGCCAAGTTGAAGATCGGTGTATATCATTGCAGAGGAGCCAACCTATCAACAAACAAGTTGAATAGTTCAAGTGGTTAGAGCGTTGACCTAACATCACAAAGGTCTCAGGTTCGAGTAGAAGAAAATGCAAAGTGTAAAAACACACACATCGTGGGGCCCATCTCGGGCAGGCTCACTCACTCCTCCACGCCGTCGTCGTGTGCCGACATCTCCATCACCGCCGCCACGAAGAGGGCGTCAAGTTATCGTTGAGCGGGTGATTAGGGAGACAACGACTGCCGTCGTTCAGTATCCAATATTGACAAAGTCCAATTATAACGAATGGATCTTGTTGATGCGCGTCAACCTACAAGCGCAAGGGTTATGGCATGCTGTTGAGCCAGAGGAAGGAGAAACGATTGAGTACCGTGAGGATCGGTTGGCGTTTGCCGCCATATTACGATCTGTGCCCCCAGAGATGCTGGCATCTCTCTCCACCAAGCGCACCGCGCAATCGGCCTGGGAGGGAATCAAATCCCGTCGGGTCGGTGTACAGCGAGTGCGGGAATCCAACATCGAGCAGTTGCGGAAGGAGCTCTCGGAGATCCACTTTAAGGACGGTGAATCCGTCGATGATTTTTCAATGCGGATCACGGGGCTAGCCAACAACATCACCACACTCGGTGGCAGCATCAGCGAGACAGAAATCGTGAAGAAGATGCTGCAGGTTGTCCCTGATCACCTCGAGCAAGTTGCGATTTCAATCGAGACATTGCTTGACGTGAACGACCTAACGGTAGAAGAGGTGACCGGAAGACTGCGTAACGTCGAGCAGCGGAAGAAAAATACCATTTCAGCTGTCGACAAGGGGGGTCGTCTACTCCTCACAGAGGAGGAATGGCTTGCACGTCTAAAGCTCCGTGACAACACCGGCCAGAGCAACGGGTCCTCCTCCAGCCGCAAAGACGGTAAGAAGCCATGGATCTCCCACGGGCGCATGCGCGGGAAAGATGGGAATCAAAAGAAGGAGTCGACCAATGGCAGGCCAATCTGCTCGAACTGTGGGAAGAGAGGACACCTAAGCAGGAATTGCTGGAGCAAGCTTAGGAACAAGGAGAAGGCCGAAAAGGCCCATGTGGCTCAATCCGAGGAGGACGAGCCAGCTCTCTTCATGGTAAGTGCATGTGTCCCCGCTATCGATTCCAAATCCACGGAAATGGAGGTAATCAACAACGATGTTGAACTCGAGAAAGAGCTCCAGCTGGGTGTAGCAAAGGTGGCACCAGCTAGGGAGCCAATTCAACTGGAGGAGGAGCGAGTGTTCGCTCAGATCAGCGAGCGGGACGAGCAACACAAGGACCGGCGATGGATCCTAGACACAGGGGCAACAAACCATATGACCGGGGCTAGATCTGCATTCTCCGAACTCGACTCGGGGATCCGCGGGACGGTGAAATTCGGCGACGGATCCGTCGTCGAGATCGAAGGACGCGGCACCATCCTATTCGCCAGCAAGGGAGGCGAGCATCGCAAGCTGACCGATGTCTACTTCATCCCGAGGCTCAAGGCTAACCTTGTGAGCCTGGGTCAACTCGATGAGACAGGCTGTTTCATCTCCATCGAGCGCGGACTACTCAAAATTTGCGATAATCAACGACGGCTGCTCACACAGGCAAGGCGCACGACAAACCGTCTTTACATCCTGGAGTTAGAGATAGAGCAACCTGTCAGTCTCTCGGCCAAGATCGAAGAGGTATCTTGGAGGTGGCACGCAAGGTACGGGCATTTAAACTTTCCTGCTCTAGAAAAACTACAGAAGGAGGAGTTAGTGCACGGTTTGCCAGCAATCAAAGGCGTGAACAAGCTGTGCGACGGGTGCCTCATCGGCAAACAGAGGCGCACACCCTTTCCGTCTCGAACATCCTATCGAGCCGATGAGCCGTTGGAGCTTGTACACGGCGATATCTGCGGGCCCATCAAGCCGGCGACCCCAGGCGGTAAGAGTTTCTTCCTCCTATTAGTCGATGACAAAAGCCGCTTCATGTGGCTGACCCTGCTGCAAGCGAAAAGTGAGGCGGCAGAGGCGGTTAAGTGCATTAAAGCGCGAGCGGAGGCCGAATGTGAGAAGAAGATGCGAGTGCTGCGCACAGACCGAGGCGGAGAATTCACCTCGACAAGTTTCGGTAAGTACTGTGACGAAATCGGCATACAACGGCACCTAACGGCGCCCTACTCCCCCCAACAGAACGGAGTGGTGGAGCGCCGGAATCAGACCATCGTCGGGACAGCAAGGTCATTGTTGGTGACGGCCGGGATGCCTGGGAGATTCTGGGGAGAGGCAGTAATGACGGCCGTATATCTCCTCAATCGGTCACCAACCCGAAGCCTTGACGGGAAGACACCATATGAGGCCTGGTACAACAAAAAACCAGCGGTACATCATTTTCGCGTGTTCGGCTGCGTCGCTTACATGAAGGTAACACGTCCCCACCTCGCCAAGCTCGATCCTAGGGGGCTAAAGGTCGTTTTTATCGGCTATGAACCCGGGAGCAAGGCGTACAGACTATATGATCCTGTAGGGGGGCGAGCTCACGTGTCACGCGACGTCGTCTTCGACGAAAGCACCTTCTGGCAGTGGAATGACGTGAACGAGGCAGACCATAATCCAAATCAATTCACGGTGGAGTACCTCGTCACTGAGCCGGAAGAAGGAGGAGCCCAGCATCAGCAGCCGTCACCGCCGCCAGCAGGTGCAACCCCTGAACCAGTGGAATTCGCAACACCACGGACTGCGGATTCGACGCTGGATGCCGATCACGATATTGATCTGGAGGCCAGGTACCGGAGGATGGACGACCTAGTAGGAGGAGGTGAACCACCTGGACTGGCAGTGCGCGAGCTCGAGGAAGTGGCCGAACTACATGCCATCAGTGCAGATGAACCGAACACCTTCGCCGAAGCAGAAAAGAACCCGTGCTGGCTGAAGGCAATGCAGGAGGAGATGACATCCATCACCGAAAATCAGACGTGGAGTCTGGAGGATATGCCGCCGGGACACCAAGCCATAGGGCTCAAATGGGTCTTCGAACTGAAGCGCAACGAAAAAGGAGAAGTTGTGAAACACAAGGCCCGTCTGGTAGCGAAGGGCTACGTCCAGAAGCAAGGAGTGGACTTCGAAGAGGTATTTGCGCCAGTGGCAAGGTTAGAATCCGTTC